ACATGAGTGGAGAGGTAAGAATTCAGGAGCTTAACTGACAGTTTTTGAACTAAGCTGGAGACAAGATGTGGCTCAATACATGCACGGGGCTCAGGTCGAACATAGCTTTTTGTTTTCAAGTCAATGCATTGAAGGACTGAATTATTTTTTTCTGCGAGCTCAACTGCGTTTGGAGTTTGAAAGATTCTAGAAAAATTGGCTTTGATGTTAAATGGTTCATATTTTCTTTAATTTTGCTTTGTTGTTTTTTGTTTAGTTTTGTTTTTTGCTAGAGGGACAACATGCCGCAGTTATTAGGTTTACCGACCGTTCTGGGATCGTTTCGATTAATCATTAATTCATTAATGCAATATGACCAGCTATTTCATACGCCACATAAATTGACGTCAGGGTACAGAAAGGAGCCAATGAAAATCAGTTAAAACTACGCGTCGTTATCATGATTTCGTCGACATTTTTTTCGATTCTTTTACTCCCTTGTTCGAGGAGAAAGAAAACGACTGTAATATGTATACGTTTTCATTCAATTTCATTGTGCGACGATTGATCTGTGATCTTATTGCCTAAATTTAGATGACGTTAGTGCTTGATTCATCCTGTGACCTTCATCGGCAGTTGATGACATGGGGGAGAGACGAAGGACATTAACTGCTTGTGTTTAATTATATCTTACGGCATTATAAAAATCTTTTTGTTTCTGATTCAATGTATGGTATTGAAACAACAGCCGCTTTCAATTTAAAAAAACGCATTATGTAGACATAATATATCTATACGCATTGTTTCAAAGTGGCAGTCGCAATTTCAACGATTGGAGGCTTAATCTGGGAGGGTGGGGGTGGGGGGGTTGAATCATTTTTTTTTCTTTTTGCCTATCCAGGGTTATTTTTTACTGCTTTTCATGGGAGGCAACTTTAAGTGAGAGGTTTGAAGCATAATCTAGATAAAATGACGGGGAAATGGGTAATATTATAATTGTGATGCCAGAGAAGAATGATTTTGGAAAGACTTCACATTTTCTTAAACCTGGTATCCAAGATGGCGGCTGGGTCAAAACGACACGTTGGCAGTGGGTCAAGGTGATCGTAAGTTGAGCTGAAACATCGATTTGGCCCCTGTTCTCGAACAGGGAAGAATGGTGTAATGATTAGGCCTTTCACCATTGTACACAGAAGACGCGAAATCGATGCCTACATGGGAGAGTTACTCTATCGAATATCTGCCAATATCATTTTTAGACAGTTGCTCATTTTACCAAAGACGAAATGAAAACCATTGAACGACCCATGGTAAAAACAAACTATCATTGTGCGTTCATTTATTTGATACTGCTCACTCCACAAGGTAAATTAACTGTCTTTTGCCTGAGTTGAAAGGCTTAATTCTATGTTTTCATGTGTGTATTTTGTGCATCTGTACTGAAGTTGTTGTCCTTGTTGTGACTGCTTCTATTGTTGCTTCCTGTTATAGTTTGGGGTTGTTTTAGTTTTTGTTTAAGTTTTTTTGGAAGTAACTTAACCTACTGCGTACATAAACGCCCCCCCC